TCTGAACTTCTACACAAGTTTCCTTTACAACAGTGAGAATAGTCTGAACTTATACACAAGTTTCCTTTACACCATCTCAAATATATGAACTTCTACACAAGTTTCCTTTACACCATTACACTCATATATACTGAACTTCTACACAAGTTTCCTTTACACCATCTCAAATATATACAATATACACCAGTTAGTCCTTTACACCATCTCATATATACTGAACTTCTACACAAGTTTCCTTTACACCATCTCAAATAGTCTGAACTTCTACACAAGTTTCCTTTACACCATCTAAAATAGTCTGAACTTCTACACAAGTTTCCTTTACACCATCTCAAATAGTCTGAACTTCTACACAAGTTTCCTTTACACATCCATCTCATATATACTGAATATACACCATCTCAAATAGTCTGAACTTCTACACAAGTTTCCTTTACACCATCTCAAATAGTCTGAACTTCTACACAAGTTTCCTTTACTTTACACCATCTCAAATAGTCTGAACTTCTACACAAGTTTCCTTTACACCATCTCAAATAGTCTGAACTTCTACACAAGTTTCCTTTACACCATCTCAAATAGTCTGAACTTCTACACAAGTTTCCTTTACACCATCTCAAATAGTCTGAACTTCTACACAAGTTTCCTTTACACCATCTCAAATAGTCTGAACTTCTACACAAGTTTCCTTTACACCATCTCAAATAGTCTGAACTTCTACACAAGTTTCCTTTACACCATCTCAAATAGTCTGAACTTCTACACAAGTTTCCTTTACACCATCTCAAATAGTCTGAACTTCTACACAAGTTTCCTTTACACCATCTCAAATAGTCTGAACTTCTACACAAGTTTCCTTTACACCAGTGAGAATAGTCTGAACTTCTACACAAGTTTCCTTTACACCATCTCAAATAGTCTGAACTTCTACACAAGTTTCCTTTACACCATCTCAAAAGTTACCGTTACACCATCTCAAATAGTCTGAACTCTACATACACAAGTTTCCTTTACACCATCTCAAATAGTCTGAAATATACACAAGTTTCCTTTACACTATCTCATATATACAATATACACCAGTTTCCTTTACACTATCTCACATATACAATATACACCATCTCAAATATATACTTCTATACACCACAAGTTTCCCTTTACACCATCTCATATATACAATGTACACCACCCCCTTTACACTATCTCATATATACAACGTACACCACCCCCTTTACACCATCTCATATATACAATATACACCATTCCCTTAACACCATCTCATATATACAATATACACCACCCCCTTAACACCATCTCATATATACAATATACACCACCACCATTCCCTTAACACCATCTCATATATACAATGTACACCACCCCCTTTACACCATCTCATATATACAATGTACACCACCCCCTTTACACCATCTCATATATACAATGTACACCACCCCCTTTACACCATCTCATATATACAATATACACCACCCCCTTTACACCATCTCATATATACAATATACACCATTCCCTTTACACTATCTCATATATACAATATACACCACCCCCTTTACACCATCTCATATATACAATATACACCACCCCCATTACACCATCTCATATATATAATGCACACCACCCCCATTACACCATCTCATATATACAATATACACCATTCCCTTTACACCATTTCATATATATAATGTACACCACCCCCTTTACACCATCTCATATATATAATGTACACCACCCCCTTTACACCATCTCATATATACAATGTACACCACCCCCTTTACACCATCTCATATATACAATATACACCACCCCCATTACACTATCTCATATATACAATATACACCATTCCCTTTACACTATCTCATATATACAATGTACACCACCCCATTTACACCATCTCATATATACAATATACACCATTCCCTTAACACCATCTCATATATACAATATACACCACCCCATTTACACCATCTCATATATACAATATACACCACCCCATTTACACCATCTCATATATACAATATACACCAAAATCCTCTCATACATATACCTGCAATCACCCCCTCTATTCACTCTACAACCTTCCTTTCAATACCTCACATACACGTACCTGTAATCATCCCCTCCCCCCTCTATTCCCTCTACAACCTTCCTTTCAACACCTCTCATACATATACCTGTAATCATCCCCTCCCCCCTCTATCCCCTCTACAACCTTCCTTTCAACACCTCTCATACATATACCTGTAATCATCCCCCCCCAATTCCTTCTACAACCTTCCTTTCAACACCTCACATACACATACCTATAATCACCCCATCCCACTACTCCCACCCCTCAATGTCCTCCAATAACCTTACCTGTTATCACCCCCTCCCTCTACTCCCACCCCTCAATGCCCTCCAATAAACTTACCTGTAATCACCCCCTCCCTCTACTCCCACCCCTCAATGCCCTCCAATAAACTTACCTGTAATCACCCCCTTCCCTCTACTCCCACCCCTCAATGCCCTCCAATAGACTTACCTGTAATCACCCCCTTCCCTCTACTCCCACCCCTCAATGCCCTCCAATAGACTTACCTGTAATCACCCCCTTCCCACTACTCCCACCCCTCAATGCCCTCCAATAAACTTACCTGTAATCACCCCCTCCCTCTACTCCCACCCCTCAATGCCCTCCAATAAACTTACCTGTAATCACCCCCTCCCTCTACTCCCACCCCTCAATGCCCTCCAATAGACTTACCTGTAATCACCCACTTCCCACTACTCCCACCCCTCAATTCCCTCCAATAAACTTACCTGTAATCACCCCCTCCCTCTACTCCCACCCCTCAATGCCCTCCAATAGACTTACCTGCAACACCCTCTTATACATATACCTGTAATCTCCCTCACCTTTACTGCCTCCCCCATCTGCAACCCTCTCTTATACATATCTTTTATCAGCCTTCCCTATCTACAACTCTCTCATATACATACCTGTAATCTCCCTCACCTTTACTGCCTCCCCCATCTGCAACCCTCTCTTATACATATCTTTTATCTGCCTTCCCTATCTACAACCCTCTCATATACATACCTGTAATCACTCTGCCCTCTCTACTACTAAATCTCCCTCTCATCCAAGTCTTGTACATCAAGTCTCATCCTTCTCCCTCTCTCAATCACCACTACCCCTCCTCCAACAGAGCAAAATGGGGAGGGGACATAACTCCCCCACCCCCTCCCAGCTATAAGCTTCTGACTTCCAGTATCTCTCAAGTCTTGTCAGGATTTGATCTATTCGCTGACAGAAAGTTTGAGCATTTATGATCACATAACACATATGGATTTGAAATGGTGCCTTTAACATTCCCAGTCAATGTATTAGCAGTGCTATATACACTAACACAGCCGATAAGTCTTTCCGTTTCCTATATTTCAGAGGTGCTTGCCTCCAAAAGTGACAGATATTTTGTACAATATACTAACCAGCAGATACCAAGGCCTCACCAAAAGATTTAATGGTTTCCTGGTCCTGATTATACAACCTTTGTAAGATGTCCAGTGTTCGTTTACTACTCTCTATAAATTTATTTGTTCCTTTTAAATTTTCTCCATTATTTTAACTACATCACTGCGAGCCAAAGGTGTTAACAACGATACTCTTCTTGTGAAGAGCATGTATGTTTGTAACACCCGTGAGTTCTGATTTTGGTAAAACCACAAATGTTGTGATAATTTGATGAACATTGTCAAAATTTCCTTGAAATTCCATACCAGTATACATGGTGGGTTTCTGACAGTATCATCCACCACATGAACTATTGTGGTTTTACATTAGTTTCTGTAGAGAAACAAAACGAAAAAAAAAAAAAAAAATACACAATGATAGGTTTGCTTACTTGGTGATTACACTTTATATTTTGAGATGTTTTTAACACCACTGCATTTTCTTCTGTAGTTATTTTCTGGTTTCAAAAGTTAAGTCCATAGCATGAAAACAGCATATAAAGTAGCTTAATAGTCACTTAGATCTACTGTATCTAATTCTAAATTTGTATTACAAAGTACGGTATTAGAATTATAAATAAAATTAAACTTTATAATTCTGGTCTCTCGGATATGTCTGTTTTCACGAGTTTCAAACAAGGGGGAGACAAGCTTTAGTAAGAATTTAGCTGAGTAATTCTTTACAAAATCTTAGAGACTGGTAGTCAGTCTAGGTGCTATTCACATGTAATTGAAGAATATGTCATTTTTCGGGACTTAAAAAAAAAGTGAAGTCTTTCTGAGATAAATTGTCAAAGTGAATTGGCAGAAAATTCATAAAAAAAAGGAACTCAGCATATAAAACAGGCGTTGTCAGCTGTTTGTCCTTATTACAATAAAACATGTGATCGCTAATCCCTTGAGAAATACATGACATATAAATGAGCTCGAAGTTCCTCCTTATTGGCTATAAATATTTAGACACCATGCTTTAAAATGAATTTTAACAAATTTCTAAGGGAAATGAATTTTACATTCCAGATTATCCTCTTCTGAACATACATATTTTTCTTTTTAAATCATGAACGATGAATTTAATGTAACACTTTTCTGATATAAACAAAATGGAATATATATATATATATATAAGTACATGGATATATTTAATACTCTCATATATATCATAATTGTAAATTTCTCTGAACTGATTTCCCCATCAAGGCATCAAACACTTGCTTTTGACTTCATCTCTTTGTGAATTTTATATAAAAGATCAAATTTGGAATTTTTTTTTTTCAGTTTTAAACAAAAAAAAATTCATAAACTCTAAAACTAAAGTTCTAAGCACAAGTACAAAGAAACAGAACTGTCTTTTTTGTGGCAAAGTAGAAATATTGAAATGTGGGAGAATATGACTCAATAAATCTGGACAATGAAGTAAGAATATAGTGTTAAACACAAACACATTAATAAATATCTTACACTCACTACCATATAACATATTTTACCTGTTTTCCTGGTTTTGCTTCTCTTCATCGTTATGTGTTAAAATCCCAAAATACACTACACAAATGAATGTTTTGGGCTACGTGAGAGCCCCTGGGGAAGGGATACACTCTGGACTTTGAGAATACACCAAATCCCCTGGCGTGGGGAAAAACTTGTGACCTGAGGTTCTCAGCACAGAAGTTAAGTCAGGAGTCATAAACACTACTGGGTAGGAATTAAACACTAATTTGCAGAAATAACCTGAAATGTTTGAAGTTTAGAAAAATCCAGTGCATATTTTTTTTGGTATAATCCTTACTCTATCCCACTTCTAACATCAAAGTGGTTCTGCAACTGTCCCCATAAAGTATAGGAGTGACTGGGTCTCTCTCCTTTACACTTGAGTCCCTCCCGACAGCCTATCAGGGACTCGGGTTTATTTGACTAAGCTCAGATTCCCAGTGCTGCGGTACCTCCCCACTAGCTTGTGTTACCTCTGTTACTATGACTGGGGGCTGTCTGTCAACTTTGACAATCCTTCTCCATTAGTCTGCCCTGATTTTTCAACACTATAATTTAAACAGTAGTATCACATAGTGTTTACATTTGTAGTATGGGGTAAGATAGTGTTGTGATGCTCAAGGCCTGATTCCTATCAATCTCCACTTCTTATAAACTACTTACCCTTAACATACATTTCTCCTTCAATCTCTCCATCTTGTCCCTACCATTAACAACCAGCCCTTCTATTGCCCTTATCCGACTTTCTCTCCCTACCACTAACAACCAGCCCTATACTTGCCCTTATCCAACTTTCTCTCCCCACCACGAACAACCAGCCCTTCACTTGCCCTTATCCAACTTTCTCTCCCCACCACGAACAACCAGCCCTTCACTTGCCCTTATCCGACTTTCTGTCCCACCACTGACAACCAGCCCTACACTTGCCTTAATACCCAAATGTCTGTTTCTGACCCCCATGTACTTTATCCTGAAGTTGGAAGGGGCAGCTCCCCCATGCCCTTTTTCCAACCGTTTTGCAATGACCTTTTTGTCCTAAAGCTCCACTCTTCTCTAATAATCATCAACATTCCGCTCTTAAAATACCTTAAATTTGAAAAATGAAGATGTTTTATTAATATGATGAAAATATTTACCGTAAATATATAAACCAAACTACATCAATATTTTTCTTTTTCTGAAATAACAATGAACCTTTCATAAAAAAGTATCATTTCTCAAGAAATTCAGACACTTATTTCTATAACGTAATATATTCAATCCCAAGGTGAAGGTTACATCAATTATCAGGTTCCGAGGTGAAGGCCACAAGATAATTAAGTAAACAAGAATATGTTTTAATGGTAGCTTATCTTGTTTCTCCTGGCAGATTTGTCAGACAAATTTTCTGGTGTGAAATGATGAAACTCACATTGCTGTGCAGATGCTAAATGTAGATATGTTGACAGATCTGTTAAGTAAACACACAACAGCAAAGTTTCACATAACCTCAATGTAATATTAGAAGGAAGAATCAGGCAGAAAAAAAAAAATAAATTCATCATTTTACAGAAATTGCAAAAAACAGCAAGAAAATTATTGAGGATCTTCATGGAAAAAACAGTGTCATATAAACAATTAATACAGAAAGGTCAGAGGTCATACATGCATGATGTATGATGTGCTTGTGGGGGTCTGGCAAAGTGTGAAACGAGACAAGACAAGACTATATTATCCTAAAATCCATAGTCTAGCACCTTGTCAGACTGTAACCGGATAAACCTAGAAATTGTTAATAATCATCCCAACATTTGTGCCTCAATTTACTCCAAAGGTGTGATAACGAATGAGACTTTCAATTCCTTTTGTGTTTCCTAATTAATGCATTGTCATTTGAAAACAAAATTTGTTCATTTTTTTTGTAAATTGATATTTTCAAGAAGACATAAACCAGCGAATTGTGAAAATTAAATTAACCTAACAATTTCTCTTACAATGACAAACATTGACAAGTTTAAAAGTATAAATTTTATAGGACTTTTCTTAGAGACTTTGTTGTATCTCTATGTAGATTTTCTCTCAATCCCATTTTTGCCTTCTATCTAATTTTTTATTTGTTTTTTGATAGAAATTCTATTTTCAAGCCCTTCAGAGTACAATTGTCTGTGGTGTGCTTTCAGCCTGATTGAAAGTGTCACCGTTTCTTAAAATAGTAACAAATTCTGTGCCCTTTGGGATTTTAAGAATGAATATTTTTTCCTAATATGCAAATATCTTTCCTGTTACAAAGCAGTCCAAGGAGAAAATAATGAAAATAAAATGAAAGATAATTTGTAATATTTTGCATGATAATAACATATGTTGATTATCGGAAGTTGTGGATGGTTTTTAAAGGGTTTGTTAAGACAAATTATTCCACAGACAAATGATTGGCACAACATCAAAAACAATCATCCAAATGGTTTCCTCATCGTATATTCCATACATCTAAAGGAAATACACAGCCATAATCATGTAATATTACCTAAAACTCTATATTTTTTTTTTGCATTCCTACAGCAGAGAAAGACGACGTGAATCTACTGATGTTAATATATGTAAACCATTTCATTCATTTTAGTTACTGGTATGGCAGGATTATACCAAGTTCTACTCTCACCAAATTGCAATATCACAAAATGCAGTTAGAAGAGTCTTCTGTCCTTACAAGGAAGTAATTCAAATTGATGGAAAAAAAAGAAAAAATTGGAAGTCATTATACATTCAACAAGGAAAGGAGAAATTACTTCAAGTTGAACTCTGAAAGTTCAATAGATTCAAGAGGCTATTACAGAATGTTACCTCCCTGAGATTAATAACGGTGTGGTGCCACCATATACCGTAGAGGCCCTAACGTAATCGTGTGTTGGAATATCATTGTGCTTTATCCAACTGTTTGTGAAAGAAGTAAATGAGTTAGTCAAAAATATTTTCCTATATATAATTACTTTAAAAAAATTTTCATCTTTGAGTTAGAAAATATAGATATACCTGACAAAAATGTAAATGTAGCACAGAAAATTAACATAACAACTCCCACATTCCCCCCACCCCAGGTTATGCCATAGTGTGGCCACTGTCATCTTCTCATTAACCAACATGCCCAAGGTACTGATATCTAACCTGTTACATTCTGGGAAGAAGGGCTACCAAGTTAGTTCAAATATGACCCTGACCCACTTTCATGGTCACTGAAGTCAAATGTTTTAAAGTATTCAAATAACTTCTTCTAATAAGTAGCCAATTCTTCTGTGACCCAAGGTGACGGGGTGGGGGAAATATCTTAAAATCTTCAAATGATTTCTGGACTCTTTATATAGTATGCTGGAATGAAAGGCTGCCGCTGCCTTTGTTTTGCAAATGAATATTCTTGGTGCATTTTCAAGGGCATGATCTTCAGTAACAAAGAGGCCCAGAATGATAATGGAACAGTTGAATGCTGGTATAAAGGGCAACTGCCGCACATTCAAGGTCACTTAGGTCAAATGTGCTAAGAATTTAAAACTTCTTTTTAAAAACCAATGAGCTCTTGGTCTGGGTATTTGTGTATTTGGGTAAGTATGCTTGTGTAATGGACTTTCAAGTTTGCACTGACAGGAAAGTAACATTTAAGTCTTGTGTTTGTTCCTTTGTCATGGCTAGACAAAAATAATGGCAGAAACTGATGATTTATTTTGTCTATATGCCATAGCTTAGGAAATGGTGTGTTGCAGTTCACATAAAGATGATGAAATATTAATATTGAAACATTTAAATTTTATTTATGAGTAAATTATGTCCTTGTAGAACATCTTACCGTATTTCTTTGACAATAAGCCCATGTCTGGTAATAAGCTCATCCACATCTATTGCTCTTCAGTAGAATTACAAAGAAATTTGATTTCATCATCATGCATTAAGCCCATCCCATTCCCATGACTTTAGATCTGAATTTGTATATTTGTGGGCTTATTCCAAAATTATTTTACCTGAGACAGAGTAACTTCCCTTGACTGTAATCCCTAGATCATATAACATTGCATTAATGGAGAATTGATGAAAGTGGTGAAGAGATCTGTGAAGTAGATAGGATGGTGTAGACTTCTGACAAACAACAGATTCAAGGACAGATGTCGATCTTATGTGTCACAATTATAGTTACAAATTTAAAAAAAAAAAAAAAAAATCTGTTTTTCTTTTTCTTTTTTTTTTCTTTGTAAAAATCCTGAGCTTTCATTCCTAGACCTAGATAAGTGTTTCTGATATTGCCATTAAAATTCCAATGTTGTCTATTGATTGACATCATGTATTGATGAGTATGTTTTGCTCTGTAGATGGTATGAAAGCAGTATAAACCTTCAGCTTTTTTATTGTTTATATCATTTCGTAAATGTTGACATTCATGTTCATACACATGAAACCATGCCGGAAATCCATACCAGGACATGTCATTCCAACAAACATAAATTGCTCTACAGACCTCGAATTCATCTGAATTTTTAAACTGGTTCTTTTAGATATTCCTAAATATCAAAAAAACTCTTTTGATATTATGTGCATGTATTAAATATTTCATGCAATAAAAACATCCCACATATATCCTACACTACACCTCCATACAGATGTAGGCGAGAGACTGATAGGTATTATTTTAGCTGAGGGACTGTTTGGTGATATTTTAGCTGAGAGACTGTTAGGTGATATTTTAGCTGAGAGACTGTTAGGTGATATTTTAGCTGAGGACTGTTAGGTGATATATTAGCTAGGAGACTGTTAGGTGATATTTTAGCTGGGAGACTGGTTGGTGATATTTTAGCTGAGGGACTGTTAGGTGATATTTTAGCTGTGAGACTGTTAGGTGTTATTTTAGCTGGGAGACTGTTAGGTGATATTTTAGCTGGGGGGACTGTTAGGTGATATATTAGCTGGGAGACTGTTAGGTGATATTTTAGCTGAGGGACTGTTAGGTGATATTTTAGCTGGGAGACTGTTAGGTGATATTTTAGCTGAGGACTGTTAGGTGATATTTTAGCTGGGAGCTGGGAGACTGTTAGGTGATATTTTAGCTGGGAGACTGTTAGGTG